ATCATTGAGGCCGGCTAGATCAGGCATGATCACAGCCGTAACAAGTACAAATTAATCTTAAAGGCTGCATTCTGGTCACTTTACTCCCTTCCCCACCATCGACTACCTTTAGCGCGTCGATAATCCCTCATGTACGAGATGGTCTATTCAGTGCTGAAACACGGACTACTTAATACAGTTTGATGAACAGGTACTTCGCGCTTCTATAAATTCAGTGGGACCCAGGTCTCTGGCCTTCACGATATCACTCAGTGTTGCAGAGTCCATCCATAAAGAAGGCACTATTAAAAAGCGGCGTGAGCTGTATGAGTAGGCTTTGAGTCGTCCGTGTCTGTACACCCATTCAATGAACACCCAACAACGGCCCCACAGTTAAATTCCATATAAATTATAGAAAGACTAAATCAAATGGGTTTTTATAGAAAAAAACAAAAAGTATACAATATCGTTGATTGTCGCGCGCGCGAAAAGGGTTTTGAGGAAGTTTGCAAATGGCTAGATGGTGCGAGGAAGAACTAAAATGTCAGTTTGCGGCGTTAAACCAAGCTATACGAAGGGAGGTTGTTAAAGGCGCCGGACGGAGTCGAAGGGGCTATGGCACGGAAGGCGGTGAGGTGACGGGACCGACGTTAGGGAAAAGAGTGTTGTAAGAGTATGAGGCGGCGGATCGATGCACATAACGATTCCTTGGAGGCGGCAGGTGGCCAGATCCGAATTCACTGACAGACAGTTCATCAAAGTACTTATGCAGATTGTTGGAAGCGGCCAGAAGAAGACCCAAGAAGAAGGGCGACGGTCGCATTGGCCGACTTGTGTACTCCGGGTGGAACTGTGTCCCCACAAAGTAGGGATGGCGGGCGTTGGGCACGACTTCGGGATGACCATTCAAGACAACGCCGGGAGTACGCGCTGGTGCAGCAGATTCCGGCACAGGGTAGATTAATTCCCCGATCTCCATGCGGTTGCCCTCGTCTGCGTCACGACCAATGAAGGCAAATCCATGCGACTCGAATTCGTGAATTGTTTCCGGATTAACTTCATACCTGGCAAGCAAATTCGTCGAAACGATAAGGGGCGGGGGGCAAAGAGTGGTTAAGAATCTGATTGCACGACTCATTAGAGGGTCGTTTCTCAGTAAAACTCATCAAGGAAATTTGCAGTAGTCTGTTGCCTTTGCGATTAATCTGGACCGCAAACGATCCTCTGCAATAACTGCTATAAACCTTTAGTTGCGATCGTCTATCAACCTTTTTTTAAAAAAAAGACGAATCCTGAAGTCTGCAAATGCTGGAAAAATCGATTTTCAAAACGTGGTCGCCTCAAGTACCTTAGAGGAAGCAGATTTGATCGCTGGGAAAAGATCTTTATTCGCCCGACTTTTCTAAATCTGCCGAGGATCCATCATCAGACAGCAGCAGAAAGGGGTGATTCATACACATGGAGTTGCAGTCTGATGATGGATCCGCGACGGCCTTCGAAACGTCAGGCGAATAAAATCCTTGTTCCAGCGATCACATCTGCTGCTTCTTCTTCGCAATTACTTCCTGGGGACTTGCAGCTCTTCGCTTGTAGTACTTGACTATCTGTTTATTTCAAAGGGATACAAGACATGAATAATACAAGTGTGAAGAGACGAAATGACTCTCCAGGACAAACGACAGGAATTAAAGGAATTGAAGAAACACACACTTGTTGAGTCTTAACGTAGGATAATGCTATTCCTAGAGTGTGAATAGCATGTCCTGATAACTGACGGAGTTGGCAGCTTTTGAAAATCAGAAGACTGTAAAATTCAGCAATTACGTAAATTCGATTGACCCGAATGCGAAAAATTCGCGGCATCGGCAGCAGGCGAACCCACACCACAGGGAAGG